TGTACCATCCTAGGCCCCATCATCGCTTTCCATCAGGTGAGATTGTGGTCAAACGCATTGTCTATTTTACATAAAAAAAAAAGTGTGTACTGATTTCTAGTTCTCTTTTTTTTGTCTGTGGCTGTTTCCGTTTTACACAGAAATTTCGCCAATGTCTCGTAGTGTGAGAGACACGAGACGAGAGAGATTGCTCAGTATTTATTTATAAAAATAAAGATTTAATTTTTATCCGAATACCATTCTTCCATGAGCTTTTCACTTTGTTCTTGCGTCCGTTGTGGCGCAGCTGTTCTCGTTTCCATAAAAAATTTGACAATGACATTTCGCACTCGCAATCTATTCGAATTCGATAATGGGTCGTGCTAAGGGTATAGAACGGTTTACCCGAAACTGACAAATATTAAGCCTATCGTAAAAAAGACTTTTACGGTAGGTTTCGTAATCGTATCGTCATCGTCAAATAGGGATGACGACTAACTTTTTTTCTCGTCCATCAGGTTGTATTGGACACGTATTTTTTCTTTATTCTCATAATGAAACTATAACAGAGGTTTATTGATTTGAAATGTCGTCGCACATCGCGTTTTGGTACAATTTTTACTTAGTAGTGACGTCACGAGCCCCCACTACCAAACTTTGACGCGTTTTATCTTTCGTAATTTTTTGGTTGACTGACCAAAGAAAAAATATGTACTTGTTCAATAGTTCTTGATTATTGGACTTAATAATATTTCGTTTAATTTACGTATTTTGTATGGAAGGGGCCAGTTTGTTTAAACGTCCGGTAGGGGCGCTGCTGTCCTAGAAACTAGTTTTAGACGATGCGATACGATTGTTGTTGGCTGCAATAAGAGTGATTTTTCAAAATGACATTTAATAAAACAGTTTTAATACAATAAATTCGGCAGAAACATTTAAGAGTTGATTGTTTTTAGGCATAATATAGTTTTATTGTAAATAGACAAAAATTGGTAGCGACACCTATTAGAATTCTAGGAAAACAAAATTACAATATATTTTTTTAATGTTAATAGACTTTCGTTTCATTTTAAATTTCAGATACACATTGTTGTTTTGCTTCTATTTTACATTTTAAATGTCATTTTGAAGATATTTTATTTGGATTAGTAATAGTGTTTAAATAAAACTACAAAATACAAGGATCATTTTCACCTTATGAACTAAGTCATTCAACGAAATTCACTCACCAAACTAGATGTACAAAGAATTAGTTGGGTACAATATTTTTCAGTTTTATTGTAGTTTTTTGATGTTCAAATTATTATTAATATTAAAATTCGTGGTATATACAATGGGAATGAATCAATCTTATTGTTTTTTTTTTTGTCTTATTTTTGCTCATATACATATTATAGAAAAATGGAAACAAAGTTTAAGACATTTCACATGCTAATTTGAGCTTTAATTTCAAAAAGTTAAGTATGAAACAAGTGAGAAGTTACAATCAACCCTCAATCCATCTCAATTATTTTCAAATATATTCCAAATACAATTAGGTTTAATATCTCATATTACTTGATGTGGCTGAATTTTAATTTATTAATTTTATTAATGCTAAAACAATATTAATAATCTCCATTCAACTGTAATATGGATTTCAAGATGACAAAAACAATATTATTAAGACATGATAATAATACAAAAATAGGTTTTTTATTTGTGTACAAAAATCAGGATAAAATCTTAATTTCAATAAGCTAGTTGACTCATGTCGAATTGTATTAAATAAATGTTTATTTCTTAAAGTATTTGGTGAAAGGAACCTAAATATATCGATTTCACTTCATAAAAGCAGAAGATTGCTGAAGAAATTTAATTTAAAAAAAGATTTTTTAGTCTATACTTTTTAAACACTTGAAACGCTGTTCGCCACATCCGCCATGATTGTGACGTCTCTTTGGTAGTAAACAACTAAATGTCATTCATACATAACCTTAAAACTTGTATTATGAAAACTGATAATAAATGAAGAGACTTAAAATATTATTCAATGAGTACTTACATCAAAGTGATCTTCCAAAAGTAAATTTTACTATGAGTCGCTAAAGTTGCAGGATCCCTTTTAGCAAGTTCTAACCAGGTATTGCGTAGGTTAATTTTAATCCACAACTTTCCTGGAGTCTACAAGGATTTGTTTTTACATTCTCGAACAATACAATAATGATAATTAACTACATTTTTCGTGGTATTTATTAGAAATCATGTTTTTTTTTATTTTAAACTCGGATTTTTCTATTTGCTTACGAGTTTTTGTTTACTACCGGTTGACGTCATAATATAGCTAATCTATAGACTAAAATGGCCGACAGCGTTTTTGTATGTCCATGAAAAGTCTATTTTAAAATAAAAGATTTGTAGCTTTCTAGGTCTCAAAAAAATACAATACATTTTTTTTCGGTCTAATAGAACATTTAAAACCTTTTTCCAAAAAGGGTCAACTAGCCTATTGTTTAACATAAAATTACAATATTTTCCAAATTTGAATTATTAATGGCGCTTTCCAATACAAAAATGCGCCGGTTTTCTTTGTCAATGTTTAATTGTTTTATTGCATTAATAATTAGGAAAATGCAATATTTTTTCTATACTGGTTGAAAAAAATTTTTGCAGAGAGAAATAAAAATGGCTCATTTAAAGAGCTCAATACTCAAAGGAAAAACACTTTTTATGATTTGAATTATTTCTTTTTGTTATTGTTCAGATTCATTCAAAAGTATGGGTGTTGTGACAAACACCACAGAGTCTGCCCGAACGCAGCATTAAAAGTTGCCGTGCCCTCGCCGACACGTGTGCATAATAATATTATCACTTAAAAAAATATCACATTTCAAGCAACATTTGTATAAATTGTATATGGGCTATGGAGACCAGCGGCAGAATGCGCTGTCGACATTTGCCTTTCCAATCGAACGAAACGTAAAAAAAAAAGATTGGCTGTATGTAAACACTGAGCTTTTGCTCTAAATAAAAATAAAGTCTGGGTTGCCATTAGCAAATTTAAACAAAATTATAGGTGTTTAAAAATTCGTTCGATTTTAAAGAACAACTGTGAACAGTACATTCTGACGCATAGCCTTTTGACTATTGTAAGTTATGGAGGATAGGGGGTAGTCTGCGGGAGAGGTGTGTGTATAGTAAATATCTCTGTACACTATTGCTATGTGTGGCGCGTCGGGCGAGGAACGCGAACGGAACACGGCAACGTCAGTCTTAGAATACAGTCCTGTGCCTTGTCTCTGTCGTTCTCTATGGTAGAATAAAAAAGGCAGGGTTGCCATAACAGTGTCTTTTTCGGAAACTCAATGCTGTTTTGCTATTCAAGTTCTTTTCAACGTAACTAACGGTTAAAACTAATAACTGAATCTGTTCTTACCAGTTCTTCTCAGTAGAAGATTTCTCATCAGAAATTGCTGTCATAAAGTTGGCACAGCTTCTAAACTACCACAAAAGTTTACAGCAAACATTGCAGAAACAGTACATACAATATAGTGAAATTCTAGGACCCATATTAATAGATCACTCTAAACTCTAGACCGTAGGCTGGTCTTGCGATACTGTTTTCATACAGAACAGCATCTCAAGATTGCAGTTTATATGGGTCTAGGACACAGCCAAGGCACAAGACATAAGGGCCGTTCCGGGTAGACTCCGGGGCGCTTCTTGGGGCGCCTGTGGGGCGCATACCGGGCCCGCGCGGGCGTTTGCAGCGCGCGGGTACTGCGATAACGGACTTAAGGCTAACTTAGGGCTACAGTGCTTGGTTGAAAATGGACATGGTATTACAAATTGGAGAAATAAAAAACTGGAGGGTCTACTGGTTTTATCGTTATCAAAATCTCTAACAGAAGCATGGTAAGAAAATAATTATATCGGACAATTGAAGGACTTTCCATGACGAAATTTTAATAAAGTTGCTGTAATTATTCATATTATTAGAGATAGATTAGAGAAGTCACCCGCTTCTCTGTCAATCAATCTACGAGATAAGTTAATTTGTAGTACTTATTTGTGTGACTAGGCAATATTTCTATAGGTATTATCTGAAATACTAATGTGCAATGATGCCATGCATTTAAGATTGCCAAATAATAGGAAAATTGGATTTTGAATTTTACAATTGTTTTTTACTATTTAAAAACAAAAGGATTGAAATGCAAAAATTAAATCACTATGTTTCCAAAACTGGACAGAGAGACAATCACTGTTACTTTTATAGTGTGTAATTGATGAATTGCTCTCATTGCCTGCCTACTAGTTCATTCAGTGCGTGAATAACTTATTACCGTTACTACAATAAGAACTATGTGATCAACCAAGCACCATTATATGAGATAATACTGTTGTGTTAATGGTTTAACATTATCTTCCTTTCGTAAATATCCTAAAATATACAATTTATTTACAACAAAAAAGGAAGACAGATTCATGTTTTCGGAATGTATTTATAAGATTTTTTGTGCTATCAAAATATATAGGCCAGTTCAAGTGCATATAGATAATTCTGAGACTTGTTATTAAAAATCCCATATCACCTTTTCTGTTCATATTTTTATTCAAAACATTTGTGCTTTATCCTACATTTAAATAGGAAAGTAATTAACTTAGATTAGGTATAAATAGACCTAACAAATAAAATCTATATAAATAATGCCAGTTAGAGGTTATGAACAAAATATGTTTTTTTTTAAAAGCACTCAATTGGCCTATGTTTTTCTGTGATGCATTAACACAACAGTGAGATCTCAATAGTAGAAAAACGCAAAACAAGGTTAGTAACACTTACAACTATGTCAAAAACCAGTAGATGCTCGGGAAGTGTGCACAGTTGAACAAAGATTTGAAAAATACCAATAGTACCTACCCAAGTAAGTTTTGATTACCAAAGGAATAATGTTAAGAATATGTTTGACTAATTTAATTACCTTATGAAATTGACTTGTATTATAATAATTATGCGAATGCTAATTTGAAAATTTTGTTTCTCATTAAAAACAGGGAAAATATGAAATAACCTTTGCTCAAAAAGCCTAGCAAGTCACACTGGCACATTTCCACAGCCTCTACTGAATATCACATCATTAAACAAGTTAAGACCCTGGAGGTCTGCTCGAGTGCTGCGAGCGGTTGATTCTACGCAACGAAGTCCAAGGGCCTGTTGAACCCGCCTTTCCTGTTCATGTACTGTCTATACTTCCTCTTTAACACAACATGCACCTCTCCTTCAACATTATCTTCCACTTTCTTACCTTTTGTAGTGTCGAATCCGCAAAAGCCCATGATTTTGAGCATCTCCTGTTCTTCAGGGGATTTTCCCTCCAAATCTGCTGGGGTCACAATGGGACGTTCCCCGAAGGTTTTCTTAGGTTTAGGGACGAAGGAGGTGGTTGGAGTTGGCGATAACGAACGGGATCGTCGGCGACGCGGTGATGGCGATCTGCGGCGGTCTGGGGAGCGCCGCCTCCGCTCTAAGGACCGGGAACGCGACCGGGTGCGCTGTCTTCTCCTTTCGCGGTCCCTATCTCGGTCCCTTCTGTCATCTCTGCGCCTGTCGTCGCGTCGCCGAGGAGGGCTGGGCGACCGACCCATCTTGCCCTGAAAAAACAGTTACCATATAATATTTACAAACGAAGAAAATGGGGAAATGCATCTAGTTAGTATTTAAAAAACTTCGTTACCTTGGACTCGAGTCAATTATTTTTAAATTTAAATTTTGGGAAACTAAAAAATGAACAAAAAACAACCTAAACAACCGCCATGTTGAACAAAACTGGTATGACAAGTTTAAAAAATTCGTTACGTCAATTACGTTCCGTTCTATTAAACGCGAAATTTAATTATTTTTTAAACTGTTTATTGTGATCAGAAGTCACGTAATAATTATCAAAAAAAAATGAGCAGGATATAATTTTGTGTTTTATTAAAATTACATTTATTTAATGAAAAATATTTGCTTTTACTGTTTTTGGTGTAAATATTTTGTTAGAGTTGATTGGAACGGTTCCAACGTTCCTTTGATAAAATATAAAATAATCTTTACGTAAGTTTCTTAAATAAGTTTTCGTAAACTCCAAAGGAACAAAAAAAAACAAAAGTTAAATATAAACATAAAAGAACCATATGAACCACTTTGTTAATTATTAAGATTTATTACGTTAACGGGAACGTATTTCGAAGTTGCAAGCATATAATAATTACCCGTAAAATGAGCAAACTTAGATTTTATAATATGATAATTTCAAATCTATGTCAAAAAAGTGACTTATAGTGGATAGAAATCTCGACAATCTTATCAAAATCCTTTCGCTTTTTTTGCTATAATACCCCAAGCCACACACTCCGCGCCTGCATAGTTCATAACGTGTAATAATTACTGTACAAAATAAAAACAAAATGCCACTACAGGTAGAAAGAGGAGAGACGTGTAGCTATGCTCGAATAAACCAGACTGTGCAAACTCCATGTGTTAGTCAGTCAGATAGGTTTACCAACCACATTTTATGAATAACGCATCTTAGATTATTTTGGACTTTTAAAATCATTACTAATAAGTTATTTTTCGGCTGGAATTCGAGGCCGGGCCGCCCGCGTAACGTGCTTTCTGCTACCACTCATTGACAGGGTCTGATTTATTTTTTGGACTTTTAAAATCATTACTAATAAGTTATTTTTCGGCTGGAATTCGAGGCCGGGCCGCCCGCGTAACGTGCTTTCTGCTGCCACTCATTGACAGAGTCTGATATATTTTATTACACTTTAAAAAATTATGAGTGTATTAAGAAATGTTGAACAATAAAAGTTTTTTTAAAATTACTAGATAAAGTTCCAGGCAGCATACGAAACTCGAACCTGCACCCTCCACTATCCGGGTGGATGCACTGACCATTTTGCTATCGCGGCCCTAATGACCGTATCAAATTTTCTCTAGTATTTCTTAGACCGCAAGGCAGCTCCTTCTCTTCGGTTTGCAGGCAACCCACAATGTCAAATGAATACGATTAACAAGTATTAAACATTTGAAAGAAGAAATAACAATTATACATAGATTAAATTTATTTGTTTTTTAATCATTTATTTACCTACTAGATGATTAAATGTAATGAAAAATTTACTAGAAAAAATTCAATGAACTCAAAAGATTTAAACATCTAACAGTTAAATGATGAAAAAATATATTAGTTATTGTTTATTTATTTCAAAAATGTAAATATACTAAACCTGAACGAAAATATTGTGATTGTGTAATAAAAGTTTCACTTTAAAATACCAGTATTCGTTTGGTTATCCGCGTTTTTGCAAAATCCCTAGCCATCGAATTATTATGATATGGGAGATTTCTTGTTTAAGGGTGGTATTAAAAACTGTTGAAGCGCCATCTGCGTCACGTTGAGAAACTACAAGACAACAGCGACGCTGTGCTGCGGCAAAAAGGTGAAGCTTTCGCCGACATCGATCTACTTCGGTGGCGTGCGGACCACAGTCTTTTTATACGAACGAAATAAAGATTTTGAACGTGTTTGCGCGTAATGTCGTTGGTGCTAGTGCATTAAAATATTGCGAGGAACATTTTGTGCGTGTTAATTTGAACGATGTTATGTCATATATGTGCTTAGTGCGCCCGGTAGCTATATAGTGAAGTGTGTGAATCAGTGATTGAATTTGAAATCGTCAGGCGTTTCAGTCTCCGTAGCACCGGTAAGTGCCACACCACATGAGCTCTCCACAGCCTTTAAGTGTTTGTATTTCTAATAAGAGCTGGTCTATTGCACACAATACGAGTTTCTCGTAATGTCTTCTTGAAGGGTGTGTCTCCGTAAATGAGGTCGGTTTTTTTAGTCATGGACGTTTTTGTACGACCGAGCGTCAGCAGCCGAGATTTAGGGCGTTAGCTGTGCAGCGGCATAATTTCTTCTTTATAACTTTTGACATAACATTAGATTCTTGCGCATACTACATTGCGCTATGGTGGATGCTAATGACCTCTAGATAGTTGCCATAAAAATTTGCTGGTACGAAAGGAGCTAAATAGATTTCAAGGTGTGCACATTTGATATTTGGGCGTAGCTCGGACACTTCAATTATAAAAGTAGGTACATACCTAACATGTTATCTAAGTACCCAATAAAAAGGTGATGTCATGGGCCGGGCGGTCTGACCGTACGTATAATACGGCCAGAAGTAATACGCGCCCACGGTTTTGTGTTTACCATTCAACCTGTGACTTTTTTACTGCAGTCAGCTTGTAACTTGATTATTTAATAGCAATCAGATTGTTCAGTACAATACAGAGATTTCTTTTTGATTTGTGTAGGTATTAGTAACATATATATAGCTTTCTACATGACTACAAAGGGTTGTTGTTCCTCAAAATATGAATATTTTTAACTATCTGGGTAATTTATCAGTAAGATTGAGAAAAAATATTATAAACATGTAATCTGTTCTGTGTCGATGTCATGTGTAATAATAATTAGCTCCGTTGATAATAGCATTACAGAAATACGTTCATTCTTATTTAATTTGAGCGAGATAATTAGTTAAGACAGTTTTGTAGAATAATGAATAATGTCACCTCTTTAGGCTGATTATCAGAGTTGTAACAGTAAGAGATTTATATAAATAAATACATTAGTAATGTCCTAAACCTATATTTTATAATCCCTCCTGTATTTATTCAGCAATCGTTTTATGTCTTGGAAGTCAGTGTAAAATTTGCTAGAAACGAACTGTTTCTTATTCAAATATACCATGTCCCCGTAGCAAGAGCACCCCAATTTACAATATAACACAATTTTATCACATCTAACTGTCAAACGCCATAGTAATTTGACAATGGAGTGTAATAAAAACATATTATATATCATTATGGTGTTCATACTAGCAGAGGTTCTTCAATTTATCATCTACCACCCAATTAAAAAACAATTTATTTTTTTCTGAATTTTTTTGTGTGTTATGTAGGTATACATTCAACTGGGCCTATAAACAGTTGTGGATGTTTTGAAGGCCAAGCAAAAGTTTATATTTTGTTTTAATTAAAAAATATTAGGAAAAAAGAATAAGTTGCGATATGCTAACACTAAGCTGCTTTGATATGTTCCAAATTTATGTTGATTCGAGTGAAGGACTGGTACTCTACAAGGGAGCGTTTCAACAACTTTTTTATAGACTGAAATAAACATTGGTATAGTATATTTTTAACCATGGGCAGACCCATTTTTCTCAGTAAAGTTATTTCTGTAAAATCTAAGAAACATGCAAAATTTATATTGTTATAATCAAAGTTTCTTACAGAATGAGGCCCAAAATAATTTTGTTGAACTCAGAATTGATTAATTTATATTAATAATTAGTCGGACTAATTCCTTCTAAAAATTACCTTGTAGAAATTTAGTTTGCTCTTGCATATGTAACAACCAGCATAGATTATCTGTTAGTGTTTTTCATTTCATATTTAAATGATAAAAACATATGAAATATTTAAAAAGTCATTTTAACAGCACATTTTTATGCATAATAAGAGTTGAACATAAATCGCTATTTTGACTCAGTACAAAAACAGCATCTTACATTACTATAAGCTCACAAAAAATATGTCATTATGACACATACCCATCTGCAAAGCGTAAAACCGAGACTGATGTCGATAAAAAATCCACTGTATTTAGTGAGCAAAAACACTATACTTAAAAATGTCTGCCTTAAAAAATATCTTTAATACTCACAATACTGTTGAATAAGGTAACGGGCAGCGAAATACCTCCATTAAGTTTTTATAAGTTTAATTTCAGAGTTTTCATGCTAAACAAAAAAATTTACCTATTATTGTGTATAATACTTGTGATATTTTGTGCACCCAATCTGAAAGAATCAATGTATGAATGAATCTTAACAAAAAAAAACCCCCAATATGGTTCACACAGCCATGTTGCTGCCTTTTGTGGAACGCTAAGGCCAGCACTTTGTATAGCACATAGCAACATCCCTTTCTAACTGTACTCTAGTAAAAATCAACACTTAGTTGTATTTCTGTAATACGAGCTTAAGTCTTATTGTTGGGTGAATTAATTATATTTTATTTGACCACTTAACATCAGGTTTCCGGTATGCTTGTCTACTACAATTGAAGGCAATAAAAGAGAAACAATTTGGAAATTGATCATGTTTATGAACTAGAACTTTTAAGACTTGAAAAAAGAAGGCAAAGTTCTCAAAAAAAGGTACTATCACTTGAAACTTTTTTTCCTCAGTTCCAAGATAATCATTCATTGTCCAGAACGGTGGTGAGGTACCTCACTTCTCAATCATCTTCACCAAAGCTGCTGGAAACCAATCCCTTATCACATGGAGCCATGGGCATTGGGCTGGCATGACTTTCTAAACCTATTAAATTTGAAAACAGTGTATTCCTGTCATGCTGTATACCCGCATGCAGGCCGGCTAAGTGAGGATGGCTGGTGTGGCAGGTAGAACTGTACCAGCTATCTTCACGTCTGGACTTCACCGTCAATTAACATCAGGTGGGGTGGAGTCATTTGTCGGACCTATCCATAAAAAAAATCAGAATGAAAATGAGAGACTGTTATCAAATTTAGCTTTAAGTTTAGAGTCTCGCCATAATATGATAAAAATCTATAATACTGCCAAAAGGTACGGAGATGTCTGCTGGTTGGCAAAACGCCAAGAAAACAGATGACATGTTTAGAATGCCTAGATCGGAACACGCGACAGACAAAGCGATGCAGAGTTCTCGAAAAAACAAGGAC